CCACCCCCCACCCCCAGCTAAGATTTGCACTAGTGGATGAAAGAGGCACTACATCATGGGATGAACATTGTAAAGTGTGACAGTATCCTTTGGGTAGATTCTGAGAAGGGGCTGGAGAGGAAAGCATCAACACTCCATGCTTCAGCAGGCTTTAGGGAGCTCCGGAGGCAGGTCAGTGGCGGACACACGGTACTGCACCTTGGTGTTGGTGATGGCGCCATGCTTCTGGCGCAAGTGAAGTCGCAGCTGGCTTTTGTGACGGAAATGCAGGTTACACTTCTCGCACTGGAGGGACACCAGAGGCAAACTGTTAGCTGTCATTGATCCAATAAATGTGTCATTGCCCAAAGACCCAGAGGAGATTCTCTCTATGAAGGACTGGGGCAGCTGCTCCCCCTCAAAGTCTTCTGCTAAGAGATTCAGTAAGCATTGTGCAAACGTCCTGTCCCCACTTTCCAAAGTGTCCCTCATGCTTTTCTCTTGCTTCCCTTGTCCTTCCCTGCCTTACTTCCACAAGTTCAACTGTTATACAAAAATGCAGTTCAGATACAAACTCCCCTGCTTATTAATGCATTCCTGAATCTCTCTAGGATAAAAATAATCCCTCTTTCCTTTGAACCTCTGTAAGATTTCTAGCCTTTCCACACAGACATCCTTGTGCATTAACATCCTTATCAGGTAGATAACACTTTGAGGGCAGTGACCACTTCTCACTAAACTTTACCATCTTCCTAGTTCCTAGTAGAACATACCTCTTAGGCAAATTATGCAATGAATCTGAACATATTTGGATAAATGGACAAGACTAGTCTAAATTGCAGAAATTCTGAAGTCTAGGATACATTTTAAAATGCAGTTATATTCCTTCCTAGGGTGTACACCTCAGATAGGCTAACAAAGCATTGGCAAGTAGAGCTCTTTCTCACCACTTGGATTCAATGAGTGGGTGATAATAGCTTTACTGAAAAAGTTACTTAAAAGTAAAATGGATGACTAAATGTAATGGGGTAACCTAGATGAGATCCTGGAACAAAGAAAGGACACTTTTAAGTAAAAACTAAGGAAGTCCAAATAAAGAATGGATTTCAGTTTATAACTATGTATCAGTATTGGTTCACTAGTTGTGACAAATGCACCAAACTAATGTAGCATGTTAACAATAGGTGAAAATGGGTGTATATATAGGAATCCTCTATGCAATCTTCACAACTTTTCTATAAGTCTAAAACTATCCTAAAATAAAAAGTATAATAAAATATGTTCAAATAGAGAATATGCTTTAAAGTGAAAATGGAAATAGATTTAGAAAAATAAAAGATAAATAAAACAGGCAGGACAGTGAATACAGAGCCCTGTCTCCCTGGGAGACACCCTTAGCTGTGTGTCTTGAGCGGGGCACTTCTCTCCCTGGGCCCTGGCTCTCCCTTCTGTAAGGGACTGGGCCAATATAAACTGAAAGTCAGTCTCAACTCTGATATCCTATGCATCTAAAATTCTAGCAAATCATTATAATATTAGATATTTATTGTACTCTTACAGTGTGCACATGCTATCCTGAACACTTTAATGAATTAGTTAACTTAATACTATCATTTCACGAAATGAAGACACTAAGGTACTAAGAGGATAATTAATTTGCCCAAGAACAAACAGCAAGTAAGAAGATATTCATTCTGCAGGTTAACATCTGGGATGTGGGTTAACCTTTCACTGATTAGTTCTCACGCCCATCACCACCTAGAGTGATTCCTTCCACTCCTAGAAGCAGCCATAGACAATATGTAAACAAATGAGCATAGCTGTGTTCCAATAATACTTTACGGACAACGAAGTTTAAATTTCATATAACTTGCATAAGTCACAAAATCTTTTTTTCTTTTTTAATGTAAAAACCATTTTCCGTGCACAAAATGTTCAAAAATTGTTCTGCGGGCCATAGATTGCTGAGACTGTGCTATAGAGCACTACGATTCCGATGGCCTATTTGTGGCATTGTGCAGCACCTCTTCTTTCTGGAAATAGCTTTTTCTCTGTTGTTTTTTGCTCTTATCACATTCTTCTGGTTCTCTTCTTACTCCTATGATTGCTCCTTCTTGAACACCTTAGATCCTCTTAAATGTACATCTATCCCAGTACAGGAGTTTGCTATAGGGACTCAATAAGTGTTTGTATAATGAATGAATGACACCAAAATCTATGTATCCATAGTCTGGACTTTTTTTCCAAGACTCAGATCACCTAGCCCAATACCCACTTCTTAAAGATAAGCACACTGAGACCCAGGCCAAGACAAGCAGGGTGTCTCTGACAATCGGGCCTGGATCCAGGTCTTCTGACCATTATTTCAGTAGTTGTCCCACTGTGTACTTGAGACTAGAGTAAACAGTTCTGCTGCCCCACCTCTCCACTGCCCTCCCCCTCCCAGTGGCTGCAGGAGGCTTACGTACATGGTATGGTTTCTCTCCTGTGTGGATTCTCAGGTGGCTCTTCAGAGTCTGAAGGTGCCGGAAACGGGTGCCACAGATTTCACAGGGATAGGGCTTCTCGCCAGTGTGGATGAGGACGTGGGCACGCAGGTGAGCCACCTGAACAGAGGAGCAAAGCATGAAAGGCTCTGTGGGGTGGGCTGCAGACCTCCCAGCAGCCCCTCATCAGTCCACAGAGGCAAAGGGAGCCTCTTACCATGCCACCCTGCTCACCTGGACAAATCTGGCTCCACAGGTTTCGCATTTGTAGGGCTTCTCTCCAGAGTGAATTCGAGTATGGGTTTTCAGGTTGGCTGGCCGGTTGAACTGGGCCCCACAGATATTGCAACGATAGGGTTTCTCACCTGTTACCAAGAGAAAGGGAAAAAGGAAAGCCATACTCAGTGCGGAGGGTTGCCACAGTCCCTGGCCCCCGGACTTCAAAGCAAACTATCCCTCCCCAAGGCCATTTGTACCTCCTTTTCCCTTTGGGGATGTCAGAGAGAGAATTGGGGGCCTGCCCCCTGGCCTGCCACCCCTCGCTCACACACCTTGTACATCTCACAAGGGGCCAGGGCCCAGAACAAGCAGTGCCATGGTGGGGTGGCAGAGGGGGCAGTTCCAGGAAGCCTGGGCTTTTGAACCAGCTTTGTCATTAGGACTATCTGATTATGGGACTTGGACAAGTCATTCTCCTTCTCTGGGCCTCAGTTTCCCACTCTGGAAACAGAGGGGCTAACTGAAATAACTGGGAAGGCTCCCATAACACTTCTCTTGAATAAGGCTGATTCAGTAATCAACTCACTCACCAGGGAGATACAATCAGCTGCTCTACTTTCTTTCAGGAAAAACGTACTTTTCCACTTGTGGAAACTACAGCTGGATTCCATTTGCAAGCAGGGTGGGGCCTGGGTGTGAGTAGATGCTCAGGCAGAGGAAACCAATAGAAGGGCTGAGCCTTCCTCATGGAAAGTTTCTGGGATAATGGAGCCATTTAAAGTACTAAGAGAGAGTAAACTTTGGACAGCAATCCAGTTATGAGGAGCTACCTGGTAAAGGAATGTGAGTCGATAAGGAACAAGTGCTTGGAGAAATCAAGAAGCCTTTAATTTTTTTCTGGCTTCATAAAATCCTAATCTATTTTGCTTCTATCAGCCTTAGTTTTTTCAGCTGTATAGTGAGATGAACACTTCTGACCCTAGCAAAGGCAGGGACACAAGACAGAGTGTCTCAGAGGAAAGAGGAAGAACACAGAGAGTGGGCGAGGCATGAAGCAAAGACAAGACAGGGGTAAGCCCCTTATTCAGGCCAAGATGGGTCTACTCCCTGCCTCAGCCGCTGAGTTCCAAGGCCCCATGCTGCTTTCTCTAGTGTCCTCTCCCTGTCCTGCCCCCAACAATCCTGGAGAGCTCTACTGGGGTGGGGCAGGGCCATACCAGTATGGACAGTCTTGTGGCTGGCGAGGTTGCCCTTGTAGCGGAAGGAGGCCTGGCAGCGGTCACACTTGTAGGGCTTGTCACTGTGGGTCTGCAGCGTATGCCTCTTAAGCGAGGCCTCCTCAGAGAAGCGGCAGTCACACTCATTGCAGAAGAAGGCCCCATTCTCTGTTGGGAGGTAGGAGGGGAGACCATCATCAGCACGAGGAAGGGAGAAAGGGCTCTGAGGCCTCTCTCCTCTGTAGTGACCCCCTGTGCCAAACTGAACCCCTAGCCCTCCACCCACCCAACATTCATGGAAGCCCAGGGTAAAGGACCTGTGGGAATTTTATTTTTCTTAGTATTCAGAGTCTCAGTCACAGAGGAAGGAGAAAGGAGGCAGACTGAATATTAAGGTACAAAAGAGAAGCTCAAACCACTAGGTGATCATAGGGCCTGCACCAGCTGGCGAGGCTCAGAAGCACTTTTCCCTGTCCCAAGAGCTCTGAGAACTGACTTTTCTCATCAGTTCATAGTTTTATTTACATTCATACACAGAAGCCTTCGGGCAAGACCCTTCACCTCTCTGAGCCTCCTTATGTGCGTCTGTCTCCAAAGTCAGGATAATAAATCCCTGTCCTGCCTACCTCACAGGAGTAAATTATATAACACAAAATAAAACACAAAGCATTATAGGGATGTAAGATATAGGTCAAATTCAATTATACTCCAAGGCCACTGAAGAAGGAATTAATGATGACACTCCATGGTCATCCTTACACCTATCTGGACTTCATGTTTCCCAAACACTTCTGTGAGATTGGGAGACCAAAGGTGATGGTGGAAGTGGAAACAGAGGCCCAGAGAGAAGAAACTGGGGTGCAGAGAAAAGGCAAATAGCTGGGGAGACAGGAGGGGACAGTCCCTGCACTCCTGACTCTAGGTCCATGACCCTGTGCCAAACCTCTTAGTGTCAGCAACTGCTTTTTTTCTGTTGTTATAACAATTTGATAATGACATGTCATGGTGATTTAACCCTGATTAGGTATTACTGGGCTATATTACTACAGCTGGAGCTGAGTGAAGAGTTAGATGTTTTTATCTGGTAAAAACTGGGGGTGTCAATCACTGACTATCCAGAAACTTCTATTTAATAATTTAGTTCAACTAATTTAATTCAGCTAACATTTACCGAGTACCTAATCCATCTAGGAATTTACTAGGACCTATGGGAGATACAGGAATAAACAAGGTCAGATGCTTCTCCTTACAGAATCTACAGCGTAGAGCTAACACACATGCAGATTAGTACCGGAGTTTTGGTACAGAGGGACTAAGAAAGCTCTGGGCATGATAGCCAGCCACAGGGTACCTTTGCTGGGATGAAGCTGAAAAGACTTCAGTCTCGATTACCCCAGATTAACTCTTAACACTCTATCTCTTGCTTTGGTCAGCTTAGTTCCCTAAGAGGTGAAGAGTGGCGTGATCAGCTGTTGGTTTTAAGTGCCAGTGGACTTCCAGTAGGGAACTTCTCCCAATCAGAGACAACAGTGTAAATAAAATGGGAGCACAAAACTCATGGAGCATAGGGGTCTTCCTTCTCCCCAGCAAGGGGAGGGAGGGTTGGGGCCTCACCACAGCTGGAATCCGAGTACTCAGACTGGGTCTCTCCCATCTCCTCAGGGAATGTGGGGCCGGCGGTGTGGAGGCACATCTCCGCATGCTGTGGGGACTGAGAGCCGCAGGACGTGCACTTGGGGGGGTGCATGTAGAGTGGTGAGTGGCTCTCACTGCTGCTGCGGGGGGAGCCTGTCAGGGACCTGTGGGAAGAAGCAAGGAGAACCTAAGCACCTGTGGCAGGGCACAGCATCCCACTGGGCCTCAATGCTATCCTCTCCTCCCTGGGCTAAGGCAAGCCCAGGGGCTAGAGCTGAGCTGCCCCACTCTGGCTCTGGGGCCTCAGAGTTATCCTCAAGCCTGCCTTCAAACAGCATCTGCAGAGAGCTCACTGACAGGGTCAAAGAGAGACAAAACGGGCCGGCCCGTGGCTCACTCGGGAGAGTGCGGTGCTGATAACACCAAGGCCACGGGTTCGGATCCCACATAGGGATGGCCGGTTAGCTCACTGGCTGAGCGTGGTGCTGACAACACCAAGTCAAGGGTTAAGATCCCCTTACCGGTCATCTTTTCTTTAAAAAAAAAAAAAGAGAGACAAAACCCCACTCCTGAGTTCAGTTTCTTCCCCTCAGTACTGCAGCCCACAGACCCTCTTAGTCCAAGGGTCCCTTGTATGAGGTCCCCTGCCACATCAAGACAACAGGAAGTGTCCTTGGGATTTGTGGAATGCTCTTCTACCACAGAAGGGAATTATCTCTCTTGTTGTGAAAAAATGTACTTAAATGCAATATACTTCCTTACTCAGATTAATTCAATCAATAGGCATTGATTTCACACCTGTAATAGGCTCAGCATTTCAGGCAAGAAAAGAACATACCCCTTGCATCCATCAGAAGAAATGACCCCAGAGCCCTGCCCAGATAACCCCTGACCTCAGACCCAGATGGCCTCTGAAGTCACCTGTTAACAATGTTGTTGAGCCGGCTGGCTTGTGGGATGGTAGAGTCCTCCCCACTGACACTGAGCTTGGTTGGGGACTGGAGGTCAAGGTTCTCAGGCTCAATGGGTGGCTGGCAGGCAGGTGGGGCGGTGTAGGCCCGTGGGGAAAGGCGGCCCAGCTCAGCCTGCTCCGGGCCCTCTGGTTTGGCATTCTGATTGAGGCTGTTGAGCACAATGAATTTGTATTTCTTCCAGTTGCAGGCTTTGGGGTCAGTGGGGCTCTTGGCTGGAGGGGAGCCCGAGGCCTGGAGGATGCAGGCATTCTTGCTGCTGCAGGACTCTGTGGGTGAGTTGGGCTGGCAGTCAGATTTCTGGGGGCTCTGTGGACTAACCAGACCCTTCCGGTTAAGGGGTGCATTGGGTGGCTCGAAATGCAGGGCAATCTCATCCTCCGAAGAGGGTCTCTCTTCCTCTTTGCTGGCCTTGTCACAGGAGAAGTATGGGGCATTCCGGGCTGAGGGGGCAGCAGGCTTTGGGCCTTCGGCCACACTGTAGTGCATGTCATTTCGTGCCTCCTCTGGGACTGCCTCCTTGGGCGAGTAGATGTTGCTGTGGCACACATTGGGGGACACCTCCATGGCCGGTCGGTTGTACTCAGCAGGAACTGGCCTGGCACTGTCACAGGGGAGGGCCCGTTCCTTGGGGAAGGGGTTGGCCACAGGCATCCGGGCATCCCGCAGCTCCTCATCAGAGAAGAGAAAACTGCTGACCGGGAGGTGGCTGTACATGGGATAAGAGGCTGGCGGTGTGGACAGGCTGCTGTACAGGCTGGGGGCAAAGGCTCTGCTCTCACAGCCAGGGGCATTCCTCAGTGGCAGGCTGTTCTCTACCACCTCACGACCCCGATAGGCCATGATGTCTTGGGGCATCAGCATTCGGCTGTTCAGGAACTCTTCACGAGGAGGTTTGATGGCAGGAACCATCTCTGCTTCACTGTGGGAGAAAAAAGAGAAAAGACACCGGCCCCAGATTCAGAACTGTTAAACAGATGACCTTCCAGTGGCACTGTTATGTAACCACATCTGTGCTTGAGTCAACTAGACACAGGAGATATGGCTCTGGAGTTGGGAAACACAAGGCATTTATGCTACAAGTCTAGCAATCTAGCCTACAGTTGGGGAAACTGAGGCCCAAAGAAGGAAAGTGAGTTACCCATACAATCTGTGCCTAATTAGACACAATCTTATATGTTTAAGACACATATGTACATATGTGTGCGAATCCATAACTCTTCTGCTGTTATAGGTTTTTATAGCCTACATAAAGCTTTCAAAGCCTTCATCTCATTTTGCCCATGCAAAATCCTGCAAGGAAGGAAAGGCGGGTGTAATTGTTTCCATTTTACACACATGGAAACAGGGAGGGAAGAATTTATATAATGCTGGTAACACACTTTCAGAGGGTCATAGACAAACTAGCACCTATAGAAGAAAGAACTTGCCCCTTATGCTGATTGGAGTCTCAGGGAAGTTTATGCAGAACAGGCAGCAAATGCCAATGCAATAAGTCCTGGTTCTGGAGCAGCCAGAATTGGTTTACAATTCCAGCTGTGCCACTTAGCAGCCATGTGACCTAGAGCAAGTTACTTAACCATTCCGAGCATAAGACCTGACCCACTGAAAGTACTTGTAACTGACAGCAGTGCTGATCTTGCCACCATTATTGCCCAGAGGAGATGAAGAGCTCTAGCTGCATATATGTGAAGGGACATGATCTGCATGAAAAAATAGGCCAGTTCAACATAAGCACAGTTAGCAGAACTAGAACCAATGAGTAGGTCAAGCCAGATTTCAACTCTCCATAAAGAGGAGCTTCCTAACTGTCCAAGGTTCACTGTGTGGCTCTTGGAACACTGAGTTCCTGACTCCTGGAGGTGTTCAAACACAGGCTGGAAAACCCTTCTATCTGAGTAAGGACACAATCACTCTAGAGTCGCTGGATCAAATGGTTCTAAAGAAGTTAAGCCTTGAGTCTCTGTTCCACTTAGCAAAGCTCTTTGCTTCTTTGGATCTCACCTTTAAATGATGGTCACGTTTTTACCAGCCTTTAGCTAGGGGGTTAGACCCAGAGAACTGAATTCAATCAATAAATGTCCTCCCTAGTAGAAGGAGGGTGACATAGAAGAAGAGCAAGGCTGCCCCTATAAATTTGAGCAGCCCAGTCTGGTAGGGAACTAAGGCACATATGTAAATAGCTATAATAGAAGTTTAAAGGAGAACTAAAATATATATATATGAAAAATTTAAAATACAAGGACGTCTAAAGGACAGGCAAATGCTTTGGAACACAGAGGAAGAGCTGAGGAAAGAAGAGTGGTAACTTTGAGCAGCCCAGTCTGGTAGGGAACTAAGGCACATATGTAAATAGCTATAATAGAAGTTTAAAGGAGAACTAAAATATATATATATGAAAATTTTAAAATACAAGGATGTCTAAAGGACAGGCAAATGCTTTGGAACACAGAGGAAGAGCTGAGGAAAGAAGAGTGGTAATCAGAAAAACTTCCATGGAGGAGGCGGCATCCAAGCTTGGCCTTGCAGGATGGGAAGAAGGAAAGGACACATTAAGTGAATAGAGGAAAGCAAGAAGGTGGTGATACACAGAACATATCTGGATAGGAACAAGGAGTCAAGTCTGCCTGGAGCACAAGTTCAGAAGGGCAGAATACAACAATAGAGGAAATGTAGGTTGTGACATATCACAGAGGGCTATTTTTTCTGTAAGCATGAATTGTGAAGGATTTCTGATCAGGGACCATCCTTTCCCTCTCCAAGGCTTCCCCTAGGTGGCAGCTCACCTGGCCTTGATAAACTTCCGGCAAGTGTCCACAACATGCTCCATCTGCAGGTACATAGCTGTGGCCATCACAGCCATGATGTTGCCTTCCCGTAGATTGAGTCGAGAGGTGTACATGAAGTCCAGCAGGATGCAGAACCCCTCTGGGTTGATCTCAGGATCCAGATTGATCACACTAAGGTTGCATTTCAACTGGTCTGTGAAGATGCTGTAGAACAGGCCACTGTAAAACAAACAAATGTCCCACTATAATGGATATAGTCTGTGCTCCATTACAGTCAGTGTTGATACTCAGCCCCTCTTTCCTGGGCCTAGCTCCAGAACTCCCATGGCAATTAATAATGGTTGCCATTTATGGAGTGTTTACCAAATGCCAGAGAGTCATTAAGCACTTTACATACATTATCCTGTGTTCCTCACAACCTTGAAAGACAGGTACTATCATCTCCACCTTTACAAATGGGGGAACTAAGATCAGAGAGGTTAAGTAATATTCTCTGATTCACAGAGCCTGCTTTCCTTTTAGTCTTAATTGCATGGATTATCCGAGTTAAATTTAGCACTCATTTGCAGTAACTATTCTGAGTCTACATCTTTGGGATAAGCATCTCCCCTCTTACTCCATCACATTGTCCTTATTTTTAAAATTCTACTGTATTTTTTTTAGAAGTAAGTCAGGTATGAATGACAAATGAATAAAAATATGCCTCCATCTACACTCTACTGCTTTTCTCAAAATCTATGGATTATCAGAAGGTCAGTTATTCCTAGAAGATCCAAGTCAAGCCTCAAGCCATGCCTCCAGGTACCATCTTGCCTAGTGGAGGAAAGAATACTCAATTAGAAACCAGAATCTGGCTGTCATCTCCATTCCACTCTTTCTGAATGGGTTGCCAGTAGTGAGCCAGACTTCCACCAGGAAGTAGCTGTGCAACCTTGGGTGAGATACTTAACTTCTCTGCTCCTTGGTTTCTTTATCTACAAAGTAGGGGGAACAACAATGTCTACCTCATAGGGCTGTGGCAAGAATGAAAATGTATAGAATGATGCCTGGCACACAGTAAGCAGTCACTAAACATTATCTACTATTTTTTATTTCTATCAACCTATGTTTTCTCCACTGTTAAAAAACAGGTGCTCATAGTAGATGTTGGATAAGTTCTCTAATAGCGATAGAGATCCCTGATTCTACATCATTTCACCTACCTGTACCTTCCTTTAATCATCTATGAAATAGAAGTAATAATGCCATCCATAACACAGAAGCCTACTGTGAAGATCCAGAGAGATGACATAATATAAAATTACTCTGAAAACTTGAAATACTTGTCAAATATGAAGATTTAGCTGGCTGACGCTCTCTAACTCATATACACTGAACACTCATAGAAATACAGTTACAGTATAAAATAAATACAGTTCCAGCATAAAGGAGCAAAAGATTTCAAATGAACTTGCTTAAACTACTTAAAGACTCTATTTCAGTTTTCATTTTTTCACTTGTTAACTGAACTTATTTTCCATGTTTGCCCCAAACACATCTGTTCTTGTGGAAGTATATGACTTCTTCCCCACTATATCCACAGAACAGAAACATTTCTTTTCTAAAAGTGCATTCATTCCTTCACTTCCTGGGAGCCTCTTCTGCCAGGCCACGAGCTAAGATCTGGAGACTAGTGAGATGTCCTCCCAGACACAGCAAAAGGTCTGCAAGTTCCACCTCACTGGCTGCTGGTATAATCACCCCCTCCTTTATTCATCCACCCTTCCCTTACAGACCCCTCACCTGCAGGCCATGAGGACTGTCTTATGGGCTCTAAACTGCTCTCGGCTCACCACAATGACGACATCAGTCAAGATGTCGCGGCTCCGGAGGCGATTAAGGTTGAGAAGAACGTCACTGGCATGGCGGGTGAACTGGATACAGCTGTCAGCCGGTGAGGCCATTTTGTCTTCACCTGGAAAAAGGGACCAAAATTCTTTAGCCCTCCAGAAACTGCTTATCAGGGGTACCAGAGCAGGTGGCTCAGCCCGCTAAGGTACAGAATGCAAGCTCAGGTCCCTTTTGTTTGACCTTTGAACAATTCATAGCCTGTCTCTGGGCATTACTCTTGAGAGCTGTAAAATGGGGAAAATAATCTTTATCCAGCAAGTTGGAATAGAAAACAACCCTTTAGGGAAAGGAGGAAGGGAATAAATACTTGTTAAGTGTCTTTCCCACATACCAAATACTCTGCCAAGCATTGAGAGGCAGTGAGTATGTTGCAATAAAGAGAAATCATGTTTTGAAAGTTATCAGGCTAGTTTTGCCTTTTGCTAACCATGAAACTTAGAGCAGGTGGTTTACTGCTTCTTGGCTTTGGTTTCCTAAAATAGGAATAGTAATACCTGTGTGGTTGTAAAACTTAGAGATATGTGCCTAGACTACAGTAGGTCCTCAAAACTTGCAGCTATTTTCATCAGTATCTCATTCCATTATCCCAGCCACCATCCGTTTCTTTCCACTAAGGCTTTCGAGTGGCTTGACTTTGTACCTTGAGTACCTAACACATTGCATAGTAGGTATATAGTAGGTGGCTAAATTAATAAGAGATGAGTAAGGGAATGATTGACCATACACAGCATTAAGACAGGCTAATTCAGGGGTAAAGCAGTGAGGCCTGGGAGCGATCTACAGAGAATTGGTTATCTTTTTTTCTCATCTAATGAAAGGTGGCCAAGTTCACAGTAACACATGCATTGGCAAATTCAAAAGAAATAGTTTGTCCACAATATTTTAAAGCATGTAATTTGATTTACTTACCCACTGCCTTGCTTCACAGTCCAAAATTTTCCTTAAAACCTGGAGAGAAGAAAACAAACAGAAATTGATTTAATGAATGTAAGATTGTCCACTATAGTCTTATTTTAGGACACACATATTTAGTTTTGCTTTCATAGTTGCAGCCTGCCAGCTGGTGTGGTTTTACCACAAGCTAGCAAACATTTTCCAGCTCTGCTCTTACAGAAACAACAGGCACCCAAGGCTATGCAATAATAATGCTTTTACTCTGAGTACTGGGAACACAATTGCATACATTAATTACATATATACATATACACATATATTTCCTTCCTCAAAGTAAAAAAGTTATGCCATCCAAAGGCCACTTGAATTTATGGGAAAGAAAAATTGAGAAAAGTGATTACTTCAATATTAATGATAATGATCCTTCATGGGCCTAAACACACTGGATGCTATTCAGAACCTGTTAAAATATTATCTTAGAATGATTCCACAAGGCGGATAGGGTCAATAACTTTATCCGCATTTCACTGGTGATAAAACTCAGACTCAGAGGCTCAAGTGGCTTGCTCCAAACAAACAGCCAAATAGTATTTCCTAAAACCTGTTAAAATATTATCTTAGAATGATTCCACAAGGCGGATAGGGTCAATAACTTTATCCGCATTTCACTGGTGACAAAACTCAGACTCAGAGGCTCAAGTGGCTTGCTCCAAACAAACAGCCAAATAGTATTTCCTAACTGTTTGAAACACTGCATATCAAATAAAGAACCTGCAGAATACAACCTGAGGTGCCATGTCTACATGTTCCTTGAGAATTTTTGCCCTCTTTTTCAAAGTTTCCTCTCCCCTCCTGGATCTAACCAGACAGAGTGCCACAGCTTCCAAGTTTGTGTTTCTCCTGCTGGTGAAAGATTAAACTGTGTAGTTTATCTGAGAACTGGCCAGGGAGCACTAAACTTTAAAGAGATTTAATGAAATATGTACCCTCTCCAAATAGGTTTCTCTAAAACGAAATAATTAAAAACACAGGTGTAAGGCTCTTATTTATGATCGAACGTGAGTGCAAAACAAACAATACCTGAACACTCTTCCCCCTTTTTCAAAAAAGCATAGACCTTTAGAGCAATTTTCTGATAAAGGAGCCTGAGGCCAGTGAGGTCATGTCAGGCCACATAGATGGTTGGAGGCCCAGACTTAGGTCTTCTGGCTCAAATTCCTGTTCCCTTTCCAATTCAGCCTACGTGCTGTAGAACATGCAATACAGCACCCTGATGTGGGTGAATCTCATTTTTAAGTTCTTTTCCCCACATAAACACTTTGCCCCATTCCAGTCTGCTGAGTCTTACCAAATGAGCACTCTAAAATGAGGGGTTTCCTTGAGTCTGTAACCAAACACTCTGACATTTCTCTGTGGTCCCAAGTGCCATTCACTCAGTCTCATCGGCTTCAAGGTTAGTGTGTACATGTGAGTGAGTGGGGACTGGGGGAAGGAAATGTGGGAAGGGAAAGGACAGAAAAAGACAAGAGAACCTATCGCCTCCCCATCCCAACTCAAGATGGGTAAAGAGAGATATACTAACTTGGTCCTAACCAAAGTTCAATGATTGTCTCCTTTGAAAAAGAGTGCTGATGACACTTGTGAGGTTCATTTGTAAACTTTCTCCTCTTCTCTCATGGAGGAGATCCTCAAACACTTCTGAAATACCTAGGCTGTCCTTTCACCAGCTCCAATCACCAGATCGCTTGTGGATTTCCAGTCACAGACTTTTGGAACTACAGGAAGCCCAGATTTGCCATTTCACCATGACAAGTGGCAATGACTCACTCCAGATGCAGACTGAAACAAACAAAACAATTCCCCTGTGCCCACTGTCAGCCAGGCCTTGGGCTTTTCACCTTAAGCCTCTGCCTGGTCTGGACGAAAACAAATGCACATACACTGAGGCCCACATCCTTATCAAATTCACTCTTTTGTGAGCTAACTCAGGAGGCCCAACAACTACTGAGTGTGTGGGTTAAGGTGAGTGTGGACAATGTAGCCCTCTCTCTAGGTGCTGCAGGTGTGGAAGCACCACCTGTATGTGCTTTTTTACAGACCACTCAGTTCTTTCCCACCCATTATTATATAACAGTCCTGATTTACTGGAGAGGAAACTAAAGCTCCAGGGGATAAGCTCTGCCCGAGATCCCAAAGCCAATATCTAGAAAAGTCCTGGACAAACCCCGTCTACCAGTTCCAGCCATACCACCAATGCCACACACAAGACCCATGCCACAAAAACAACCACCAAGGGAGCAGGGCTGTCAATGAGAAACTGACAGCTACGTGGGCCTTCCCGACACCAACCCCCTGCCCAGGTCGCAGTAACCACCAAGGGAGAGTTTCAAGGAAAATATGCCCTTTCCCTCCTTTGACGCTTTCTTTGTGTGAAATTGGCACCTTAGGAAAGCAGACCCTCTAGAGGAGCTTCCTACTGGAGAAGAAAAGAGAGAGATCCGGAGTAGGGGGAAGGCAAAGGGAGAGACAGGACAGCAGAAACGAGATGGAAAGGGGCCGAGCCCGTGGCGCACTCGGGAGAGTGCGGCGCTGGGATCGCCCCAGCGCTCCCGCCTCAGGTTCGGATCTTATATAGGGATGACCGGTGCGCTCACTGGCTGAGCACGGTGTGGCCGGTCTCAAAAAAAGGACAAAAAGAAAAAAAAAAAAAAAAAAAAAAAAAAAACGAGATGGAGAGAGACAACAGAGGAGATGAGAGAAGAGCGAGAGGCGAGGTTGAAAGGACCGAGAACCGATACGAAAGACCCCGTCCTTTTCCTCCCTCCTCCGCCGGGCTGGCAGCAGGCATCCCCGTTCTCCTGCACACGCACACACGCACACGAGCCCTGCACACCTGGCAAGCCTGCGCAGAGTCGCCCACCCCCAAGACACCGTACCTGTCTTCCAGGGACCGCCCACCCCCGGGCGACCGACGGGCCCAGCTGCCCATCCGCCTCAAAGCCCCCGAGGCTCTGCGCAGGCCCCGTGGTATGACCGTGGCGGCCCTAAATCTAGTCACATTCAAATAAAACTTTTCGTGTACCTCGGTAACTAGCATTGTGTGTGTGCCCTCTTTTTTTTTTTTTTTTTTTTCCTGCTACGCCGTCAAGGCAGGGGGCAGTGAGGGGAACGGCACAGCCCTCTCATTCCCGGAACGTAGTCGATCTCGGCCCTGCGGATTTCACAGAACACTCTCTGCCTGTCGCCGGCTCTAACGAGAAGTAACTTTCCAGGAAGNTGATTACTTCAATATTAATGATAATGATCCTTCATGGGCCTAAACACACTGGATGCTATTCAAAACCTGTTAAAATATTATCTTAGAATGATTCCACAAGGCGGATAGGGTCAATAACTTTATCCGCATTTCACTGGTGACAAAACTCAGACTCAGAGGCTCAAGTGGCTTGCTCCAAACAAACAGCCAAATAGTATTTCCTAACTGTTTGAAACACTGCATATCAAATAAAGAACCTGCAGAATACAACCTGAGGTGCCATGTCTACATGTTCCTTGAGAATTTTTGCCCTCTTTTTCAAAGTTTCCTCTCCCCTCCTGGATCTAACCAGACAGAGTGCCACAGCTTCCAAGTTTGTGTTTCTCCTGCTGGTGAAAGATTAAACTGTGTAGTTTATCTGAGAACTGGCCAGGGAGCACTAAACTTTAAAGAGATTTAATGAAATATGTACCCTCTCCAAATAGGTTTCTCTAAAACGAAATAATTAAAAACACAGGTGTAAGGCTCTTATTTATGATCGAACGTGAGTGCAAAACAAACAATACCTGAACACTCTTCCCCCTTTTTCAAAAAAGCATAGACCTTTAGAGCAATTTTCTGATAAAGGGGCCTGAGGCCAGTGAGGTCATGTCAGGCCACATAGATGGTTGGAGGCCCAGACTTAGGTCTTCTGGCTCAAATTCCTGTTCCCTTTCCAATTCAGCCTACGTGCTGTAGAACATGCAATACAGCACCCTGATGTGGGTGAATCTCATTTTTAAGTTCTTTTCCCCACATAAACACTTTGCCCCATTCCAGTCTGCTGAGTCTTACCAAATGAGCACTCTAAAATGAGGGGTTTCCTTGAGTCTGTAACCAAACACTCTGACATTTCTCTGTGGTCCCAAGTGCCATTCACTCAGTCTCATCGGCTTCAAGGTTAGTGTGTACATGTGAGTGAGTGGGGACTGGGGGAAGGAAATGTGGGAAGGGAAAGGACAGAAAAAGACAAGAGAACCTATCGCCTCCCCATCCCAACTCAAGATGGGTAAAGAGAGATATACTAACTTGGTCCTAACCAAAGTTCAATGATTGTCTCCTTTGAAAAAGAGTGCTGATGACACTTGTGAGGTTCATTTGTAAACTTTCTCCTCTTCTCTCATGGAGGAGATCCTCAAACACTTCTGAAATACCTAGGCTGTCCTTTCACCAGCTCCAATCACCAGATCGCTTGTGGATTTCCAGTCACAGACTTTTGGAACTACAGGAAGCCCAGATTTGCCATTTCACCATGACAAGTGGCAATGACTCACTCCAGATGCAGACTGAAACAAACAAAACAATTCCCCTGTGCCCACTGTCAGCCAGGCCTTGGGCTTTTCACCTTAAGCCTCTGCCTGGTCTGGACGAAAACAAATGCACATACACTGAGGCCCACATCCTTATCAAATTCACTCTTTTGTGAGCTAACTCAGGAGGCCCAACAACTACTGAGTGTGTGGGTTAAGGTGAGTGTGGACAATGTAGCCCTCTCTCTAGGTGCTGCAGGTGTGGAAGCACCACCTGTATGTGCTTTTTTACAGACCACTCAGTTCTTTCCCACCCATTATTATATAACAGTCCTGATTTACTGGAGAGGAAACTAAAGCTCCAGGGGATAAGCTCTGCCCGAGATCCCAAAGCCAATATCTAGAAAAGTCCTGGACAAACCCCGTCTACCAGTTCCAGCCATACCACCAATGCCACACACAAGACCCATGCCACAAAAACAACCACCAAGGGAGCAGGGCTGTCAATGAGAAACTGACAGCTACGTGGGCCTTCCCGACACCAACCCCCTGCCCAGGTCGCAGTAACCACCAAGGGAGAGTTTCAAGGAAAATATGCCCTTTCCCTCCTTTGACGCTTTCTTTGTGTGAAATTGGCACCTTAGGAAAGCAGACCCTCTAGAGGAGCTTCCTACTGGAGAAGAAAAGAGAGAGATCCGGAGTAGGGGGAAGGCAAAGGGAGAGACAGGACAGCAGAAACGAGATGGAAAGGGGCCGAGCCCGTGGCGCACTCGGGAGAGTGCGGCGCTGGGATCGCCCCAGCGCTCCCGCCTCAGGTTCGGATCTTATATAGGGATGACCGGTGCGCTCACTGGCTGAGCACGGTGTGGCCGGTCTCAAAAAAAGGACAAAAAGAAAAAAAAAAAAAAAAAAAAAAAAAAAACGAGATGGAGAGAGACAACAGAGGAGATGAGAGAAGAGCGAGAGGCGAGGTTGAAAGGACCGAGAACCGATACGAAAGACCCCGTCCTTTTCCTCCCTCCTCCGCCGGGCTGGCAGCAGGCATCCCCGTTCTCCTGCACACGCACACACGCACACGAGCCCTGCACACCTGGCAAGCCTGCGCAGAGTCGCCCACCCCCAAGACACCGTACCTGTCTTCCAGGGACCGCCCACCCCCGGGCGACCGACGGGCCCAGCTGCCCATCCGCCTCAAAGCCCCCGAGGCTCTGCGCAGGCCCCGTGGTATGACCGTGGCGGCCCTAAATCTAGTCACATTCAAATAAAACTTTTCGTGTACCTCGGTAACTAGCATTGTGTGTGTGCCCTCTTTTTTTTTTTTTTTTTTCCTGCTACGCCGTCAAGGCAGGGGGCAGTGAGGGGAACGGCACAGCCCTCTCATTCCCGGAACGTAGTCGATCTCGGCCCTGCGGATTTCACAGAACACTCTCTGCCTGTCGCCGGCTCCAACGAGAAGTAACTTTCCAGGAAGCTGCTGGCCCCGGGCGGCCGCCAGGATCGCTGCCTGCTCGGCGCGGGCCGCGGGGGATTCACCCGGGGAGGAGGGGGACGCCGGGGAAGCCTCGCGGAAAACACGGCACACACTCTCCCCAATCTCGTGTCCCCGCCGGGTCCAGAACTCTTAGAGTCCACCTAGTCCAGCCCCACAACAACCAATAAATGGGGACACCCAGACAAGCTAGTAGCAGAGCCGGGTCTGGAATCCAGGAATTCGCATCCAATCTGAGGCTCATTTCATGACTCGAGTCGCCCAGTTCCAGCGCTTGTTCGCCTGGTGCGTCGTTTATTTTATCCGTCTTTTTCTTGTCTTTCCTCCTCCCCCCTCCCCCCCCCTTTTTTAAAGGGGATGATTAGGCGAGAAGTCAAGGTCAAAAATTTGGGGTCCCTAGGGCTAAGGGTCTCCATGCTGCCCGCCCTGGCCCAGCTGGAGGAAAACTAAAGCGAAAGCCCCTTCCGCCTACGTTGGCAAGAAGGGGACCCAGCTCGGCTCGGTTTCCGCCCAGTCTTTAGAACAGGAGCTGCCAGGCCAAACCTGGCCAGATTTCGGGATTTCCGAATCCTATTTCTCCGAAAACGTAGAGACACGGCTAGGACTCGGCAGAGGCCCAGGCGCCGACCCCAGCGCTTGCGCTGGCGCACTCCAAAGTGGCATGGCTTTCCCGGGGCCTTCCTGGGAATTGTAACCCTTCGGCGCCAACTCCGAGCTGGTCTAAGTAGCGGGCTCCGGCAGACACTTTTGGCGGGCGGGGGTCGCCAAGGGACTCAGCCTCAAAGGCCACGGTCCCATCCTAAAACCAGCGGGTGGCGTCACACCGCGCTGCGCAGCCCTTCCGTGGCGGAGGCGGGGTCGGGGTCGGTCCACAAAGACTGGGCCTCATTGGCCTCAAAATCCTACTTTGAGGCTTTTTCATCCTTTCATCCGGTGGGATAAAAGTGAAAGAGAAGACTGTAATTTAATACGGGATGGGGGTACAAATCTGGGAAGTTACACTTAGGTAAACACACTTATTGGAAATTAGGAACCCCGTGGTTCCGGAAGCTCAAACCTGATGGTGTTTTTACCGCTGTCTAACAC